CCTCTCATTCCTCCAATCACCAAATTATGAGAAGAGCAAGGTCAGGTAGGTCATCTTGTTATCTCCTCTTTGAGCAGTGTGTTTTATTTCTTCAAAACATGTATATTTATGTTAATCTTTCCTAACCCATGACTTCTGGTCTTGGTGGGGTCTCCCAGAAATATCCACTACAGCTCCTGGAGATTCTTTGAACAATTAATATAGAGGAAGACTGTTCTTTAAGAGATGTGGAATGAAGCCATTATGCTAATTGATCCTGCTCACTGTGGGTTTCCAGTGTTCCCAGTAAGGGCAGCCAGTCTGTCCTGACCACTCCCATTTTTCTTAGGCATGTATATGTGTCTTTACAAATGCAGAGAGAGAGAGGAGAGCATAATCATCTCCTTTTACTCACCCCCACCCCTACCCGTAAGCCATCTTGTGTCTCTTGTCAAAGTAGCATGACATTCAAGTCTTTTTTCTGGAAGTTGTCTCTGACAAATATCTTATTAGAGAAGGCAGATACTAGTTTTTGACGGGAAGGTTTCGTAGGTCTGAAAGGAGCAAACCAATTGGAAGGAATGTGTTGCTAAACAACCAGACCTTCTTAATGTTTCTTGTCCACATCAATAGAATGGGAAAATTAGTTTACCTGTGAGTGCCAGGTTACATCTCTTTTTCTATATGTTTCATATATTCTCTTGATTCAGGTTTTGTCTTAATACAGAAAGGGGAAACTTCTAGAAATCTTAACATTTTTATGAGCTGAAGAATGCATTCTCTGTCTAGGCACTAATGTGTACTTTCCCGCTTCCAACAGCATACAACTATATCAATTTACACCACTCCTTCTTCCTTCCTATCTTGGGCAACACATTTTTATTGCACTCACCTTTGTTTAAATTTTTAAAACACTCAATCCAGCTTTTAAAATAGATACACGGGATGCATGAAGTCCATGCACTCATTAAAGGATCTGGTTTTCTTTTCATGGTTATCCCTAAAATATCTGTCTTGCAGGCAATGCCCTTTCTATCAAATAGTAATATTTTCAGTATAATCATAATTTAAGTTGAAAAGTTCAAAGAAATTTTTGTGCCTAAACCAACAGAACCATGAAAGCAGCAAAATACGGGAGAGCAAGTAGCTAATAATTGCCATGAAAAATGCTACATTGAAAGGAATTTTCTTAAACTGGAAATTTTTATTTGTATTCTAGGATAAGCATGTCAAGTGAAGAATAATACTGTGAACAGCATTTTCACTCCAATGTGAAATGTTTGTTTCTTAGGACATTTATAAGAAAAAAAAACCATAGAAAGTGTGAAACAGGCTGAAGTGCTCAGAGTGAGTTTTGGGAAGGATGAGCATGGAAAGCAAAAGGGTTATTTTAGCTGGAGAACTGAATGAAGACTGCATCCTTAAAAAGATGGGTAGTGCTGTATTTCTTTTAAGAAATTTGCATTTAAAATAAACTATGAGTAACAGCAATTGGATTTTGTAATGCTGCTCTGAAGATGAAATGTGCCTGGGAATTAAAGTAGTTTTTTGTTATCAGGCAGTCAGACTCTTGGTGCATGACTTTTTGAAGGTAAATTTCCTCTCCTCATTGTGCTGGGGAAATAAGGTTTTATGACCTGTGTGCTCAGTGACTGCTCCTCACCTTTGCGGTGAGGAGAAAGGAATGACTTAAGATCTGAAGAACAATTTGGGATGAATGTGACAGAGCCTAACTTCTGTGCAACTTTCATTTCTATACGGGACTTCGTAACAGTACTAAGTTTTGTTTGAGAGAAAATACCTGCCGGTAGCAGATGAAAAAATCAAGTGTATCCATGTGGGATCCTGCAGGATGGTAAGCAGAATCCTATTGAGGACAGTGGGCTGCAATAGCTGCTTCTGAGACTGTAGGAGGGTGGATTATAGATCTTAGTAAAATGAGGCAGAAATTTCTTTAACCATTGCAAATCTGCTGAAACTTTGTTGCCGTCCCTTTCTTGTGTGAACGCACACTTACAATTTTGTAGCATGCAAAAGTCTCTTGTCTGCTTCTTTCTATTCAATAGCTTGCAAATTTTGCAGTGGTAAGAGCAATGTTAACCACCTGAATGATGCACAGAAGTGGCAGACTGGTTTGTAACCAGTTCAAGCTGCCCCTACTTGTTAGTGCACTATAAAGCACTGTGTGGTTTTGTTTAACTTCTGTACTTTTGCTGCATAGTACTTTAGTAACACAAACCCATTAAACTGCCATCTGGTATTGGCTGGTCTGCTACATTTGCTTGCTACCTTTTATAATGACAGGTCAGGGTTTGGTGGTTTTCTTGTAAGAGAAATTGTCCTGCTATGGGTGGAAGTTTTGGCATTTGTATTTTTTTTTTTTAATTTGTTTTAATCCCTTTCTTTGCTCACAGACTCCTCTTTCTTCTCTATTCCCAGATTTTCTAGTTTGAAACTGCTGGAATCTTTTCCTGTGGGAAGGTAGAAATATAGGTCGTTTCCAGGCAACGCACATTTTAGTCTTGAGGCTTTGGCACTGTGACATTTTAAATATTGCATCAGAGTTAGATTTTTATTTATTTATTTGTTTTTTATAGGTCAGAGTCAGAGAATGGAGCAAGCTTTCATAGTAACTCACGTTCTTTAGGATTAAAGAACATAGAATAAATGCAGAGACCCAGAATAAATGCAGAGAACTTGTTCCATGTCGTCGCATTGCAGTTTCCAAAATGCCTGAATATGCATAGAAGTGGGCTATCTTCTTAAAATAGTCCTGACCTTAAAATAGTCCTTGTTCTGAATGCAGCTGAGAAGTCTTTCTGATTGCACGTCTTTCCGTGCATCTATTGTGAATATTGTGGTAGGAGGTGACCCTGATATTGCTCTGCTCAGCCCTAATCCCTTCATCTGAAGCACTGCAGCCTTGATATGGGACATTGATGCTGACAAGCAATAAGATAGTGGTGTTGTTGCAAAACTGGGTTCATCATTGCCACTTTAATATTTGAAAATGACTATTGCATACCAGTAAACTTTTTTAATCTGGCCTTTTGAAAGGATGTCATGAGGTTGCAGCTGAGATGTTTGACATGGATCCTGAAGTGGTGGGATATTAACGTGCATTAAGTGGGATTTGGTTGTGGTGGCTCAGTGGATTCTTTCTTCTGATCTACACTGTTTCATTGTGTGAAACAAATACATTTCAGCTCACTCAGCAATGTGTCTTGATTTGTTGTCCCCTCTCCCTGCCCCCTTGAGTAATATAGGTGGGTGGTTTTTCTTTGTTGTTTTTTTTTTTTTTTGGTTTGGTTGTTTTTGTTTGGTTGTTTTTTTTCATTTGTATGGGGAGCATAGATTTGTGTTGCAGTACTTATACATGTCTCCTTTACATTCTTTTTTTTCTCCATCACCATAGCTTACATAGCACATGGGATATATTGACTGATAATTTGGGTAAGGTTTAAGAAGGGATAATAGAGGGAAAAAGATCTGACACACTGCTTTCTCCGTTGCAGTATTTATACATGTCTCCTTTACATTCTTTTTTTTCTCCATCACCATAGCTTACATAGCACACAGAGGATATATTGACTGATAATTTGGGTAAGGTATAAGGAGGGATAATAGAGGGAAAAAGATCTGACACACTGCTTTCTCCATCTGGTCATTAGTGGGAAAAGAGCTCATTTCTGATTACATGGAGAAGGAACCATTATTGGAGATGTGGTGATGTAAGAATACCAAAAGGGTGAGATTTGTACAGGAAAGGGATATATTTCATTAAAGCAAGTAATAGAATTACAAAAATACAGACAACCTTTTTGGAGCTCTTCTTTGGGGGTGGTGTTTTCAACAGGATGCATATATTTTAAGTACATGTTCATGCTAGTTACAGCATGCTGGATACTGGGTTTGGTTTCTCAAAGTATTCCTTTGATATTTTTCAATATTTTTTACGCTGAAATCTCAAGCTATTGTGCAGATAATGAAGTCGTACTGAGTTGAGACATCTAGTGGTAGGTATATGTCACTTTTTTTTGAGGTGCTTCTGGACCATAACATCTTTCTGTTCTCCACTTGCGTTGCATGACCAACATAAATGTAGTGGAGTTTTGCACACACGTGCCAGCCTGACAACATCCTGCATAATGTGTTTGGAACATGAAAGAAACATGCTTTTGCAATATAATCTGATTATTTCAATTTTTATATTTTAACTTACTGTTTTTTCTAACAGAGATAAGTTCTTTTATCCTTGGTCACAGGAACTCTTGAAATATGTACACAATAAAGGGTGACAAACATCACAAAATTTCTAAAGACTAATAGAGAGTAATGTCTTCACAATATCAGAATTTAGAAGCACTGGGACAAGAAAAATGTAATGTGTTATCTTTGGCATTCAGTTTAAGCTGATATTATGATAAAGACAAGAAAATCTTGACCTCAGTGTTAATATCTTTTGATGAAGTAGGCAATTTCAAATTGAATTACTTACTGTAATAAGAAAATTTAACTACAAATATTCTCTTGCCTTATATACAGACTAGCACTATAAATGTGAATGTGCCTTTCTCATCAAGCTGCTAATCAATCACTTGCCTTTTTCCTCAGGAATTTAAACAAGAAATAGCTCTTTGTTCACTCAAAACCAGATTATGCCATGTGTCACTTTTTATTAATTAGTAAGGCTTTGTAAAGGAGCAGGTAAGTAAAATAACACTACTTGTTAAGCTGGTATTTGTAGCTGTTACATGTGAAATATCTTTAAAAGGGAGTTTTAGATCTATTCAGTGCCTTGGAAGAGGAGAGGTCTGAGCACTGGACTCCTAAATTTTAACTGTATCTTTGATGTTTCTCCTTCTAAAAGATGGAATTTGATTTTTGTCTCCAATTCTTTATGTCTAAAGTGGAAGGAGATACCTTTGTTCTGTCTTTTTAAGTCATTAAAGCTTATCAAGTGCTTTGAATATCCCAAATCTGTTATAAATGCTGAGTATTGTCTGGCATTTTCCACACAGCGTTGACAATTTTGGACTTGGTCTTCTGCTTCAGACTAAGCAGATAAAACGCATGGTGTCATCGTATGTCGGAGAGAATGCTGAATTTGAACGCCAGTATTTATCTGGTGAGCTTGAAGTTGAACTTACACCTCAGGTAAGTAGTGTCTCTAGGAGACTGGTGATTTCTTCTGAAATACTGCTGAGTAGAATAGTGCTGAAATGCTTTTAGAAAACAATTTTACAGTCTAAATGTTTCACCTCTGTGAAGATGTATGGTGAAGACAGACAGCACTTGCTGCCTGTGGTAGGTTGACCCTGGCTGATGCCAGGTGCCCACCATAGCTGCTCTATCACTCTCCCTCCTCAGCTGGACAAGAAAAAGAAAATATAATGAAAGGCTGGTTGAGATAAGGACAGGGAGAGATCACTCACCTGTTACTGTCATGGGCAAAACAGACTTGACTTGGGGAAAGGAGTTTAATAGAAGGTCAGCCTGCTTCACCATGGTCTTCGCCATGGTCTGCAGGGGTGCCTGGAGCAGCTTCTCCCCTGCTTCACTGACCTTGGTGACTGCAGAGCTGTTTCTCACATACATTTGCAATTCTCTGCCTTCTGACTGCAGCTAGTGTTACACAGTTTACACTCCCACCCCACTCTTCTTACTATGTTATCCCAGAGGCCCTACCACTGCTTCTGGTGGGCTTGGCTTGGATAGCAGTGGGTCCATTTTGGAGCTGGCTGGCTTTGCCTCATTTGGACACAGGGGAAGCTTCTAGCAGCATCTCACAGAAGCCACCCCTGTAGCCCCCGTGCTACCAGAACTTTGCCACACAAGCCCAGTGCACCCTCTTAGGCTCATGGGAGGTGCACTGCAACTAGTCTGTTAAGAAACAGGTAAGTCTGTTAAAAACTGATAGGTTGTATTACATGAATGCCTTTTATGGCTAGTTACATTATATTAACTTCGAGTGTGTGCATATATATATATATATACACATATACATATATATATATATATATATATATATATAATATACTCACACACACATATGAACATTTTATTGTACAGTGTTTGATTTTTTGGTAGTTCTTCCTGGACTGTAGGCTGCTATGGCCTATGTAAGGGCAAAATAAGCAGCTCTTGTGTGCTTTAGGGGATGTTGTGTGTGCAGTGTCTGCCATCTAGTGGGTAGACATCAAGCTGGATTTCAGTTCATTGTGAGACATAACTCTTCTGGACTTGGTCATTAAATCTTGACTAAATCTCCATGTAGAGTTATCAGCCAGTATTTACATCTTTACTTTTTAGTAACATAGTTTTAATTATTTTAGCACTGCCAAGCTACCTATATAGCCTGAGTGCAATGAGATGCTAAAATAATGAGTATCAGTCATGTTCTATTGAGATGTAGCTTTGTAAAATCAGTGCTCTAAATTTAAAGCGTACAGCGTATTAGTGTATGGCAATTCCAAAGGTGATACATAACCTTTGGGCTTTAAACAGCTATTTTTTTTTAAGTGTTTGGGTAAAGCAACAGTCCTGTGTTTTTTACAGAGAAGAGTCCATCTCTTGGGAGTATCCCTCAGAATCCCAGAGATGGACAGAAAAGCTCATTTTATACCCAGTCATCCAGAAAATAACCAGGCACTTGTCACTTCCCAAGTTTCAAAAGCCACAAATCTCACAATTTGTTGTTTTGTTTTTTTTTTCCCTACTTGATGTTGAATGCTTTCATCTAGAAGATCTTGAGCTCCTTACGCATGTAATTGGTTTTGTGGACTTCACAGACAAGCTGTGTAGATCCAGAATGAAAATACTGGGTCTACAGTGTGCAATAGTAAACAGGTGAATTAATGACCTGCTAGGATATGTGGGATTTGAAATATTTGTTTCAAGATAAAATAGGCTTTTGGAAAATGCTCTTCAAGTTGGTATGACTTCAGGCAAAATGGGGGACTGCTGTGTCCTTGTTACACTGTAAGGGAGAGGTCCTGGTCAGATCTTGAAATGTGAAGGCTGCTTGGAAACACATTGTGTTTCTTACAAGATAACTGGTGACAATCCAACCTGTATTTTGGAAGCTGCCAAGACTGATAATTGACCATGACAGTCTTGTCTTGCTTAGAATCCAGAAATGCATATATTTATATACATATGTAAAAAAAAAGGGAAGAAAAAAAAGATACTAATGAAAAGCAGGCAGACATGTCTTTGGCCATAAGTCTGTAATTAAGACTGATGAGAAATTTGGACTGTTAGTATTCATGGTACAGTTGGACATAGAGCAGAGTGTAGATTTGGTGGCCAAATACAGCAGAAATGCTATTCTCTCAGCTTCGTCGTATTCTTAGCATGAGGGACCTAGATCACTGGACTCTCTTTCTTGATCTGCTGTGTTTGGCTGATTCATCTTGGAGTGAGGTATGAAGTTTTTTGTAAGATTTTGGAGAATGAAACACATTTATGTAGTTTGTATTTATGTAGAAACATACTTTTTGTGGTTTAGGCTGTTACAAAACAAAAACCTTCTAGCTTATTTAGTTGGAAAAGAGAAAAAAACTCTGTACTTACAGTAATGAACTGGAGAACAAGCTGAAGGAAAGGAGGCACAACAAAGTGCTAGGGCTAGAGAACTGACAGCAAGTTGTGTACTCTTGAGCAATTTGTGGCCATGTGTGAAGCATTTCTTGCCATATCCAATACCGATCCCATAAAGGAGAGATAAAATAGGAGGAAAAATAGATGTGATGGTCTGCTGAATTCAGAAAGAAAAGCTCCAAATGACAGGATGTAAAAATAAGTTAGTTACCCATTCAGCAAAGTTTGATTTGGTGTTCCCAAGTGACTGATTCTTAAATATGTTTTCCCATAGGGTACGCTTGCTGAACGTATTAGAGCAGGAGGAGCAGGAATCCCAGCATTTTACACTAGTACTGGCTATGGGACGCTGGTACAGGAAGGGGGTGCACCTATCAAATATAACACAGATGGCACCATTGCTATTGCCAGCCAGCCAAGAGAGGTAAGACGTCAATTGTTACTAAGGAAGCCTTTTTTAAAAGCTGAATTTCTTACATATTTCCAAGATAAACAGTAGTTTAAGCAGCTCCTGTCCAAGTTTAACCTTGGTATATTGCATTAAGAGGTTTTCTGTTGTATCAGATGCATTAGTTTTGCTTCCACTCTTCTGTCCTCTGTGATGCGTTAGGCAAGTTTTTACATCTTCACGGTGGCTTAGTATCAAAAGTTGGTCCAGGTGAAAGCCTGCCTTGCTGAGTTACCCTTCACTTCACAGTTTTCTGACCAGATTCCCTGTGTATTCAAAGAAAATCATATACCAGGTCAGCACAGTGCACAGTATGGATGGAGAACAGCATCCTGCTAGTGGGTCCGGTGCTCCTTAAATACTGTGGAATGGAGTAAGCAGCCCTGTCACTATACATGAAGCTTTAGCAGTAGCAGATATGGAAAGTTTTCCTGTTACATGGGGAAGAGTTCAGTTAGCACAGCCTTTCAGAGGTGCAGTTTAGTTGGAGCATTTGAAATTGCAAAGAGAGAAAAAAGTGTGGCTTCCAAGTGGGAAACAAGGGATTCGTAAAGAAAATAGGTTCTTGGTGCCATAACTGTTCTTCAAGAAGTGAATGCGACTAATGCTGTAACTTCCAAATAGGATGCAAACTGCATTAAATTCTACCTCAGGAACATGTCTGGGTAAAGGTAATTTCCCCCCTTGTGTTTTCTTGTATTTTATATGTGGTTATTTTCAGTATTTAATTAATAACTTAGGATTGGGTTTTTTTCCACCCTTTATTTTCTTACTGAATGTCATTATGATGTTTTACAATTAGAAGGAACGTTTTGTTTATTAAATAGCTTATAATTTTGATAACATTTTTCTTCTACTTTTAACAATTGTGGAAATGTCTCTCTTACCCTCCTCAGGCTTTTGGGAGGCTAATAATGTGACTGCCACGATTTGATCCAATCCATTTTGAATATAATTGTCATTTTTAAAAGCTCAGATCTCCTCTTACAGGACCGAAAACCTGACTTCTGACTTTTAGCATACTTCCTCTGCCTCTCAGGAATTTTAACCAGGTCTCAAGTGTTTGTGTATTCTCTAACTTTCTGCATTGCTAAGAGAAATGCTATTTCATGTTTCTATATAGTTTTAAAATATTAGCTGTTCATCAGTTACATATTCTCACTTCAGGCACTGTATCATTACAAATATTGATCATAAATGCAGAAAAAACCAAATGAAATTCCACCCATCACATGTTGTGAATTGAGTAATATGTCTCGCTTTGTCCATTTAATTTTACATTTGGGGTGTCTGGTGATGGGCAGTGATTACGAACTTACTCAGTACTTCCGCTTTAGCACTTCAGTTTTTGGTTAGGTGGTAGATGTGTGAGAAAAAGCATGTCTAATTCCAGCAGATGGAGCAGCAGGAATATGGATCTCTTTCTCATACAGTTTCACTAAAGAGCGATACTATGATGAACCTGGGGTTTATAACCTTCCTGTGCTTCTCTATTATTGTACAGCTGAGTTGCAGTTTTTTTCAGATAAAACTTTGTGTAGTACCAGAAGAGGTCTAAATATAATAGTTCATAAAATTAATCCCATAAACAAATACTACACTGGAGATCTGTTTGAAAAAAACTACATTTCAGTAGTGTACTTTTCTCTGTAGGTGCGAGAGTTTGATGGGCGTCACTATATTCTGGAGAAGTCAATTACAGGAGATTTTGCTCTCGTGAAGGCATGGAAAGCTGATCGTGCAGGAAACATAATTTTCAGGTATGACTTGTTTACCAGTGGGAAAAGATTATTTAACAGTTTAGATAATGAAAGAGAAGGAGAATCCTGTGTCTTGTGCAATGGCAAAATATTTCACTGATTTTGCTTTCTTTCATACTGCCTTTCCCTACTGTCAAATTATACTTCTTGAAAAATCAAAATATAATTGCTTTCTATAATGACTTTTGAGAATTCAAACATAGCTGTCAAATAAGGCGCTGGTAGTTAAAAATATGGCTTAGCAGACCAAAGTCATTGTGATGACTTTGGAGAAATGTAGTGACAATCTTTTAGTTTCAATTTTCATGTTAGTTTTGGTCCTTCTTGTTGTGCCTCTGAAGGCTGACTCAAGAAGTGCAAGTTTATGTACATCAGAAGGGAAGGGACCAGAGTCAGTGTCCTGGCCAGTCAGTGATGGGAAAACTTGATCCTGCCCCTGAAAACTGTATTTAAAATCATATTGATCTCAGTGATACAGGGAGAGGTATTATATGAATTTAAGCATCTTTTGCAGTGAAAAGTTTGGGTGTTGTGCTAGTGATAACATAGTTTATTTGATGTTATCGCTAATTGATATTTGACTTGTTGATTTATTGAGTTACTGCATTTGTGCTCTGGTTTGTCCTGAACTGAAGCAGGAGAGCTTTACTTATGTTTAATGCCTCGTTTTTATTTGTTTGTTTATGGCTATCAGATGAAAAGGCAAGTGTTGTGGTAATCAGTTGCAGTTTACTACAAGATGCAGAATCCCAGAATGGTTTGGGTTGCAAGGGATGTTAATGATCATCTAGTTCCAAGTCCCCTGCCATGGGCAGGGACACCTTCTACTAGACCAAGTTGCTCAAAGCCCCATCCAGTCTGGCCTTGAACACTGACAGGCATGGGGCAGTCACAGTTTCTCTGGGCAACCTGTGCCAGCACCTCGCCACCCTCAGAGTGAACAACTGCTTCCTAATGTCTAATCTGAATCTCTTTAATCTAAAACTCTTGACATCCTGTCTTGCCCACTGGTTTCTGATCGAAAACTGGTTTCTTGTGTTCATTCATGTGAATGTGATGGCGCTAAACTTATTTCCTTAGAGTCTGGGACATGGAATACAAGAAAGTCTTCCCCCTTGGGCTTGTCTTTGATCATGAACCTCTGCTGTCTGTGCTTTTACCCTGTATCTGTCTACTGATACTTATTTCTGAAAAATTCTTTCATTCTTCACAGAAACCAAACTGGCTCCGTTTGTTCACCACCCCCGCCCCCCCCCCCCCCCTTTATGTTCTGTTGGTCATTTGATACACATACTATTTCTGCCTGGAGTAAAGACCTGAAAATCTTGATTCCTTCTTTCAAGTGTAACTAATCAAAGATGGGAACATCATCATCCAGTGCCTTACTCCATGCTAAGTACTGCTAGCTTAAAAGATTTTGCTCATAATAAGCAGTGACCCATTCTGCTTTTGGATGGAGACACATTGCCTGATGGCCTAGAACAGAGAAATATAGGCTCATTTCAGATCCTGCGGGAGACAACAAAAGAGTAGATTGTCATAGATAATAATGTAACAATAATATTTCTGTGACCTGCAGGATGAAAAGGAAAATGTGTTTTTGACATCATGCCACATAGAGTCTATATATTCACTGTCAATGGGACTCATACATACTTTTTTTTATTGTGTGACTTCTGGTTTTGTTTGCTGAGGATAGACATAGGCTTTGTTTACTCAAATCTGCCACCACTTTCACAGCAGTGTGGGACTCTTTCTAGAATGTTTCTCATGACATGATGTGTTTTTTAGAAATGAGATGTTCAATTTTGTAAAAGACTGCTGCTTCTAAAACAACTTTACTAACACCAGAAAATTCTAAATTGCATAAACTTTTATAAATTGTTAGAATCAAGCCTATTAAGTTGTCATAATTTGACATTTAAATGTTTTATTGTAACTTTTTCCTCTCTGTAAAAAATAATTTCATATCTATTTCTTTTATTGGCAGACTAGTCACTACTACCTTGAAAATTCTTTGGCTCAGTAAAGTAGTCACGTCTGCCTTCCCCATCTGTATCCATTTCCCTGTTCCTTTAATTCAGATTTTGTAATTCCATTTTTCTTCTCATTTTTGACTCTACATAGTTTAGGGTGACAATTTATTAATAGCTAGAAGAATAGAAATTTGTTTGTTTTTTTTTTAATTGTTCACTTTTAATGTTTTACATCCCTTTGTGTTTACACACTGAGGAGACCCATGGACAAAAGATATTGTCCTTTCTGTAGCCTCCACTGGAGACTTAACAGCTGCTGCATATGGCCAGCAAAACAGGATTTTTCCAGGATATGTGTCTTTGGGTTTAGCTTTGACTCTGTAGGTCTTTGCAGATTTCTCTAGAAATCCTGTTAGAACTGAAAGCCTCAGGAGTTGACCGTTTCAGTTTGCTACCTCCCCCAAAGCCACGAGATGGCAGCAGCATCCCAAAGTTTATCATGGCTGTGGCATTCGGCATGGTCATCACGCAGAAGGGTGAAGAAAGGAGGAGGTGTTGGAAAATAAGGGTGTCCAGCGAAAAAGAAAAGTTTGTGTGGAAAAGGAATAGGAGAGTTTGGCTTGTTTTGAACCCTAGTTTCGTGCATTTTGGTGAAAAATTTCCAAGAATTCTACCTTTTAAAAGAGAAAAATGCTGAGATGAGATCAGTGGAACCCCATTAAAAATATTTTTCTTAAATATTCTGAAAAACACATAGAGGTGTTGACACAGCTAGCGTGTTTTCCTTTGTGTCTTCTAGAATCTCTGTGCAGATCCCTTGTTACAGAAATACTGTTTTGGAGTACTTAGGATGAATGCCAGAGTTTTGCAGTGAGTGCCAAAACTGGCGCAGCCTTTTCAATCAGAAGGGTTGGATTAAATTTATTATGGTGAAAAATGCTATCCCAAGTGTTAGTCTGAACTATGAAGGCACATGTGGGATATGGGAGGTTGTTAGGCTTTGTGCTGGCCCCCGTGAAGATTAATTTAATTCTTTGTGCAGTGAAATAATAGGAAGGAGCATTGTGCAAAGCCCAGCTTGCTGCTGCTGTTGGATCTATTAAATGCAGATATAAGTTACATACCCAATTCCAATTAGAGAAGGTGCTGATTGAAAAAGAGCTGTAATATTTTCTAATGTCACAAAATGTGGTTTAATTTCATACGTATCTTGCACAATCCATAATAATTTTTCTCCTTTCTGTTTCTTTATTAGTCCTCTAGCTATTTGTCAAAGGTTTGTGATATTTATATTACAGAGACACTTGTAGTAGCTTATCTCTGAAAATTCTTTCCTCATACTGTTACAGTCTTTGCTATTTATTCATTTTATATTTTTTTTCAGGAAAACTGCAAGAAACTTCAACCAACCTATGTGCAAAGCTGCCAAGACAACTGTGGTAGAGGTAGGAAATTGACACATAGTAAGCCCTATACACCTGTAGTCAACATACCCCTTCAATTTACATGGTATTCTGAGGACAGCGTTCTCCCTTTCTTGACTCTTTGTTAGATTTCATATCAGGGACAGTGGTATAAATTGTATCCTTGGGTTGCCTACTCCTAACACTTGTTACGTTTTAGTAATTAGTTCACTATGGTTCCTCAGTTTATTATTATTCATCTGATCCTGGCCAGGACTTCGTATTCACTGTGATCAGCCTTTGAAAGGGAAACAGAGCAACAGCCTTCAAATTTCTAAATAAAATGTGGATGAAAGAAGAAACAATAGTCTTAGGCTGTGCTTGAGAAGATTAACATAATACTTTATGCAAAAATTCCTGAAAATAAGGATAAGTATATAACAACATAAATAGGGCAAATTATGGAGGTATCACAGCTGTGGGCTCTAAAATTTCATAAATTACATAAATTTAAGTCCAGAATAAGATACAGACATTTGGTTATGCCTTGAGAAAGAGGCTGGACTAGATGATCTGTAAGTTTCTTTTTGTTCTTTTTCCTTGTTGTCTAAAACAATAATGTTTAAAACATTGGAGCAGCCTACACTGGAAATATATTAGTGACCGAAGAGTTGCTAAGGCATAGCAATATCTGAAAGATAGAATGCTTTGATCATTTTTTCATCTCTGTTAGCTTTTTATATGCCTAATGAAAGCTATATAAGTTTTAATAGTAAGATCAAGAAAAACTCTTCAGGACTATTTGTAGAAAATTCTAAATGCAATAGGCTTTTATTTCTTCAGGAGTTCTGTTTTGGTTTTGTTTGGGTGTTGGGTTTTGCTCTGTTTTGTTTTTTTTTTTTTTTAAAAAACTCAACATGGAAAACATTTGCTATATAAACATCTCTGGATAATACATTTGGGAACTTGAGTTATTTCATTGTGTTTAAAAGAACTATGGCAAAAAGTACTATAGAATTTTTCGCATGATTTACAGTGACAATTGAGCAGCAGTACATGAATTTTCACAGCTGGTTTTCAAGAGAGGTTTAAAATATTTTTCCATTTAAAAATGAAATAATTTTCCATCATTCCCTTTCCTTCTAGACAGTTGCCCTTCAATACTTTTTTCAGTCTGGCATTTAGAGAATTTAAGTAGATCAAAGCCTTCCACCTACATTCATTTCATTCTCTCTGTCTGCTCTTTTATCCACATGTGATAGGGTAGAATTTTCTTGTCAGTGAGCAACAATTATGAGACACCCTTCTTGCTATAATTCCACTTAGCAATCTTAAACAGATCTGCTGTGAACTGTGTCCACCTTGAATCTTGTTGCACTTTCAGTAACACTTAGAAACTGACAGGTGTCTTGCAAGGTGGTACATTAATGTTTCTTCACAATTCTATCTTTTATGGACAAATTAATGGATGAAGAGGCATAATCAGAGATTTAGGACAAATATATATTTTGAACCAAATGCAGTGCCTTATTTGCTTAACTTTTAAGTGTCTTTCTTCCAAAGTGGAATTCAGAATGTCGTGTCCGGATTTAAGAGTTCAAACCCAGGGAGTCAGGAGAGATCTCGTTAAGGCACTTTCTCAGTACAGCACATTGTCAGCTTGCAGCTGCTTAGAGCTAATCACTAGGGAACCCAAGTGACTGAAAAGAGTTTTGCCTAACTCCTTAGTTAACATTGTTCAAGGCTGAAGTATGAAATATTCAATAACAGAGGGAGAAGAAAAAGGTTTCTGTAGGGTAGTGATGCAGATACCCTCTTGGTAGAGGGATTTCTGAATTCTAGCTCCTGTTCCCAGCTCTGTTTCCCTTTATCACCCGCTGACCATTTAGCTTAATTCAAGAAGAGAGTCCTATAAGTAGAGATTTGAAGTCATCCGTGCTACTTTCCATCAAACTAGCTACAGGTCAGGGCTGTCTTCAGAGTCATGCATTGATTAATTGGAAATTGCAGGATTGTAGTTGCTCTGTCTGGCAGTCCCATCCTGATTTTGATGGTGGAGCTTTCCACCTGTTATGCAACCAGACTTATGCTGTCAACATTTGCTTGTCTAGCATGAAGAACAAAGCTGAGATAGGTGGCTAGGAAAAATTAGAAGCATATCCGTCTAATATTTGATTCTGATTTTTGAGTTGCTGAAATTTTTCCTTTAAAATGAATGCTATAAATACTTAGAAAAGGGGAACTGTTTTGGTTTGGGTTTTTTGGTGTATTTTTGTTGTTGTTGTTTTCTCTCATAGCTACTCTGGTAATTTATTTATTTCTCTTTTGTTCCTTATTTGTATACATCAAGTTTTATCTAGTCCTTTAGAAAGAGTACCTTTTTCAGAAACAGAACTTAATTTGTTAAACTCTAAGTTAGGAGAATGCATGCTAGGCTGTTCATTTATGTCACTATTAAGCCAGTAAGTATATTCAATCGGAGTATAATTTGAATTTTGGATGATAGGTTTAATCAGAAATTTATCCTACCTTGATGCAAATAAAACAAGAGGTGGAAAAAATCATCCTTCTGTTTGTGCTTATTCCAGTGGTTAATCACTCTCACTGGTATAAATATGTCTTCTTACTGTAATTAGTTTGGTTTTACGTTCCACCTCTTCTGCTAGATTAGAAAACTTTCTGAAGTTGTCATTTCCTTCCCACTGGATGAATTCTCAGTGCTGTTAATATGATGAAAAGATTGAGGTCATATGGATTCTAACTAAAAACATTTTTTTCAGCTCTCCTATCCTTTTTACGTCCATCTCCTTCTTGCTCTGTTTTTTTTTCTGAAACGTTACTAATGTGAGTAATTGGAGTGTCTTCAGCATTGTAACACTGCTGCCACTAATGTCACCTGAAAAGTAAAGTTACTCTTTGGTCCTGCTGCTTCCTTGTTTGCATACCTACAGTCTTTGCTGATCATTATACAGGGGCTCCTGTAGCGTTGCTTACATCTTGTTGATCCGTTTCCAGCATTCTTCAGGAAGTGTAATCAGTGTTTTCCAAAATACATTCTGTAAATGTGGCAGATATTTCTTCATCACAGATGTCTAACTTTGTGTTTTGTTATAAAACATGTTATAGTTGAATAGACCAAGTTTACCTGTGTGTCTGGTTATTGATACTTCCTTCTTAGGGTTTATTATCTCACCAATCTTTCTCTCAATTTATTTTAGTTTCTGATAATTGATAAAAATATAGAATGGTACTTGGCATAGTGCATTCCATGCCAAGGGAAGAATAAACTACTGTAAATCCAATCTCAAGGTATCTGTGAAATTGGTGGAAGTGGGAAGTGCCCTAGGAATCAATTTCATTTGTTAACTTGTCCTTTTAAGTTAACCTGAGGACCTGTGAAATCTCCTGATACGCTTAAATACGAAAAGACACTTTTTTTCTTTAATGTGTTAAAGCTTCTGGTCTCTTAATCTAAAGTCAGTGTGGCATTCTGCACTCTCTTAGGTGAAGTATGTAAAGACAATTTTTACGACAATTCAGAGGTGGGAGAACTCACCATTTCCTGTAGGTGTGGAGGATAAAAGCAGAGACAAAAAAAACTCCACCTCACAAACCCACAGACTGATAGCTATTTCTTGCTTAGAAACTATCCTGTGCTGTGAGGAGCAGGGCTTCTCACCCTTCTGAAGGAGAACGAGTCAGGCTGTACCATCACCACCTACGTCTGTGCAAACACTGGAGAATTATTGATTATGAAATTTCCCCAGAATTAATTTGTAATTAAAGTGTCTGACCCTCAGCCTTGTTTATTTTGACTAAGCAAATGGTCCAGTACCCTTTTTAGGATCAGAGTGAAATACAAGAGCTGTTTGCTGACCTGAACTAATATTTTGAAATGCTACATGCATTGCTTTTGTTTAAGCAATAGGAAATAGAACCTGCTAACATTCAAGATAATAAGGTTATATGCTGGGGCACAGAAGATCCAGCTGTGGCTGAGGCCATTTAAATTTCTACTTTAATTTAAAGATGACTAGTATTAAAGGTCAAAAAGTTTTCAACTGAACTTCATGATTCCTGTTATTTGGAAGGTAACCTTTGCAGAGAAAAAGGTTAAATAAACCAGCATTGGCAGCATTAGTTAGTTTGGTTTTAGCTATGTGGAGGCAAAATTACGAAGGGGTTTATTTGGTTTCATAGTTACACAGTGTTGCACTTAAAAAGTTCTCTGTGCACCTGCTTCTCACTTTGTCTTGCAGAACTTGAGCTAGGTATGCAGAGCTGTAGCTTTGTCTGGCCCTCACACATTCAGCTTGAGGCTTTCAGTTGATTTTCCAATCTATAAATGCTTTCCTGCTCCTATTGCAGAAAGAGGAAAGTTGGGAAATCAGTGGTGACAAGTCATATATGAGCCACCAGCCCCTGAAAAGGTGCAGAGGAAGGGCCCAGCATGTGAAGAAACTTGAGGGCTTGTGTGGTCTTATGTATGTGATACCATTTCCAGCACTCTGCTGAACGAGGGAGGTATCTGCTGAATACAGCAGCCAGCACTGTTGTCAGGCCCCTCAGCAGACCTGTTGAATGGTGTGATGGGAAATGAAATGTGTAGCCCCTCAGAGTTATAGGGATTATGTGTGCCTAGACTGCTAGAGGCAATGGCTGTGATATTAGAATGCTCTCTAGTATGTGCCTCTTCCTATAGAGGCACCTGTGAGCACAGCCTCACCAGGAGTGTCAGCTTTTGATGATAATGCCTCCTTTATGGAAAAAATAGGGGCAACCCAAAGCCACAGGATGAAACATGGTGTCACCTTGCCCTGTGTAGACCTCATCTCAGCATGGGAGAGGTGAAGGGTGATAGAGACTTGAGCTTGATCTCTGCCATGAAGGAGTACATAAACATTCATAACAGCCCCAAACACCCCTCAGCTCGTCTGTTTTCTTGCCTTGCTCTTCTTTTTGGTGAGACCTACTGAATACTTGTTGATGGTGAAGTGGGTTGAGATCTCAGCCACAACCATGATGTAAGTGTTTGATAGTGG